GAAAAGAATAGAACAGAGAAATGATGACGCGCCAGATGGACGATTGAAGAGAGAACAGACGCAAAAAAAGTGATTTTTCTGAATGTGTTGCTTTGTCAATCGTCTCTCTTGTTTTCGAGTTTCGTCCGAGGATGTTGACAATCCTCGAGCGTATACGTGCCTTCTGCCTCTCGTCTTTGACACATTCAAGTGTGAAAAGTGGCTCTTAAACATTCGTATACAGACACCGTGGTTCTTCTATTCGCGAAAAATTACATTCGACGGATGAGTTCGCGCGTGTAAGAAAACACGTTGGAAATAACGGAAGCGCCATACATCGCCGAAAAGTGTGACAGGTGTTTTTCTCTAGGCACTTAGAAAGCTCTCTTGCTCGTATCGTTGGTATCAGCTTTCTCCATCGGGCGAGGATGCTCGAAACCGCGTTGGCGTTTACTGCCACGACTACGGTTTCGACTTCGGATGCATCGGCTGGCTGTGGCAATAATGGAACCTAGGGGTATCGATCGCCGTCGAAACTACAGTGCGAGAGACTCCCTAGAGTAGCACTCGATGCATCGAAATGCACTTCGGTATTAATATGCATTTTCCGTACGGAATAGACGAAGGCAGAAACGAACGAAACGCGATAAACGAGGTGGGACGATTCAGGAAGAATTCTCAAGAAATGGTTGTACTTCGAAAGATCGCGCATAGGGGATTTCTGCAGATAGAGTTAGAAAGAAAGTGAAAAAGATATATATATATATATATATATATATATAGAGAGAGAGAGAGAGAGAGAGAGAGAGAGAGAGAGAGAGAAAGAGAATGAGAGAAAGAAACGGATGATGGTGAAAAAAGGTACGTATGTAAAAGACAGATAGACAAACGAAGAAAGAGAAGGAGGTGTTTCGAAGTGCGTATTTCGAGCAAAGTGAATGTCGACTTCATACATTTCTTTCGGAGTGCATTGCGTTGGACGTGTTGCATCGGCGCCTCTGTATACACGCGGCCTGCATTCTCACTTCCTGTTCCGTGGTAGTACACCGCCGGCACTCCTAACATTAATAAAGAACAAGAAGAAAGCTGAGAATGATGAGAAACAAAAACGGGGGGACGGGGAGTACGATCTGTAATGCGAATTGTTACACCATGGCTAAGAAGAAACAAAGATTTATGTTAACGTACTGCGTGAATTAAATAACACATTGTATTATTGCGTAGAAGCATTTCTATGCTACAATTTAACTCTGACAACGTGCATACCTGCGTGGTTTGTACATGTAGAAAGATATCGTTCTATTGCTAAGAAAAGTGATCACTCAGTTTACTCTCTCCTTTATTATTAAGTAACGGTTATCTTTAATAAAGAAAATTTTCTTGATAATAATATCATAAAAAAATATACTTATTATAAATTTTAAAAAATTCATTATTATTATGTGCTTAAAGAATTATTTTCTTCTGAAAAATATTATAAAATTGAGCGAAAAAGCGACTTTATATAATAAGCGAAGCAAATTTGTTTTAATTTAATAATCTTAATTGAAGTATTAAATTTATTAGGATTTGAAATATATTTTGAATGCATTTTATGCTTGTGATGAATTTATTATAGATTTGTGAGTATATGAACTTTCGAAATATACTTGAAACAAATAATTATTATTACGTACAGTATATGTCTTTCTGTGTGTACAGATATCGTAACATAAATATATTTGATAGTTCATATTCAATATTTAAATTGCATTTATGTTGTCAAGTTATAAAAAACACTGTAACGTAACATATGATAACATAAATTATATTTGCTAATTGAAATGTTTAAATTGCAATTGTTAAAACAAAAAGAATTCTTTTATATTTCTTATATTTTTTATTCCATTTCTTCTAACGTTATAGTTTTGTAATTACATTTTTTTATGTATATCTTTATTAATTTCAGTATATACACATACGTTTAGCTAATAGATTAGAAAATATAATTTAAATTTGTCAATTTTAACTCGTTTAGTTGCATCTTATTGAACGATGCGTGGATATTATTGGGTACATATTACTAGATTGTTTCATTCTGTTATATTATTAATAACTTAATTGAGATTGCGATTTGCAAAATGAGTGTTATTGTCACGCATTACGAGAACATTAAAAAAAATTAAAAGGGAAGTCACATTTATAAAAGATTAAACAAAGCATTTAAGATTGTCGTCAAATATAAACGTGTCAGCGAAAATATTGTCTCAATTTAGTAGATATTACTTCGTGGTATGTCATATATGGAAGGATCGTGGAAAAACTGGAAAAATGCAAATAAGAGATGCAATGAAAATAGCTAGGAATAGAAGCGGGTTAAGCTTTTATATATATATATATATAT